GGCCGATTTCTACTATTTTCCAGCCGCGCCCTCAAGCCTGGTAGAGGCTACATGTATGTAGTATGTTCTATGGCAGCTTTCTGTCCTTCTATTACATTTACAGTGTTGGGCCTAGGAACAAAACCTTGTGTTTCCTGTTCCAGTCCTAAAAGAATTAGGGTCGGTAGGTAGGGATTATCTTTTTCTGTAGACTTTGGCGATCTCTAGTGATCCAACTCATACAATACAAAAGTAGAACTTACATTAGGACACTTATATTTTCAATGTCAATGTTAGAAAACTGAATTGTACAATGTTTCATCACTCAGGTATCAGATCACATGGAGCTAGAAAAGGTTGATCAGCTAAAAAAATTTGTGTCCCTTGCAGGGGTACACACACAAAAAAAGGCTAGGATCTGCATTGCATTTTTTTCTGGTGTCTGTCAGGAAACAGGAAGCATTTTTTTCCTAGGCCTTGTCTGTTGGCCCAAATCTGTAGCCCAAATCTGCCAACACTTGCCCATGACCATCTACATCTCCCCCTCCTGCCCTCTGTAATCAGAAGTCCATGTTTTTTGGCATACCAGACCACTGGTAGGGTTGTCCATCTGGAAACAACTAGCCTTGGGGGGTTCATAAGTAAGGTGACAACTGATGAACTCATGGGGCTAACCAGTTATGTTCCAGTGGTTGGGAACGGGTTTTCTGCGCGTGAAAAATTTGCGCGCGCGTGAAAAATTTGCGCGTGAAAAATTAAAGTCCTTTGAAAATGTCAGAAAATATGCAGTACCAAATTCTAATGCAGAAAAATGTTACCCTGTAACATGATTTTCCATCTACAACCTGAAATTTCGGTTTGAATTTTTAGGTCCCTTGGGAATAGGTGAATTTGCATATCTTCCAAGAAACATTAAAATTAAAAAATTACTTGAATTTGCCAGAAAAACATGGAACAGTTACTAATACAAGGTTTTGTATTGTTAAATTTAACAATTCCAGGCTTTTCTCCAGTCTATAAGCTTGATTTGGCATTTTATGAAGCAGTTTCTTTCACGCGCAAATTTCAAACTTTTTTGCGCGTGAAAACTTAAACTTTGAAAATCACCTAAAAGTCACTGAAAAGTTTACAAAACAAGGCTATGTACTCTAGAATGTGATAATATGATACTCAATTCTATTTTATGACTTTTAATCTATATTTTTAAGTCCAAAACAGCAAAAAGTTTTTAAATCCCTTGGGAATCGGCTAATTTGCATATTTTCACGCGCAAATTTTTCACGCGCGCGCAAATTTTTCACGCGCACAAAACCCCATCTCCAGTGGTTTGGAGTCGCCATCTTTTGGGTGATTTTTTGGCGGCAAAACTGTTTTTTTTAAGTCAAATTTCTTGGTCATTCTTTAATGTAGCAAGTTGAATCAGTCACTGGTATCTGTGAGGCAAAAATGCAATGTCGTTCTGACGGAAAACGGTTGCCTGTTTTGTATTGTAGGCTGGTTGTAGCTATTTATGGGTGGTACCCAAAATATAAGAGACTGTTAACGTAGCTTGTTTTTGGTTTCATGTATGAAATGATGACAAAAATGTGCAAAGAAATGGCAGTAAATGTCAATATTTAGATTTCCTCATCCTGAATATTTTTTTGGTTTTGATGCTCCGAAATTTCATTGGCATTCCTTTACTAAAGTAATTATGCAATCGTCCAAGAATATTATTTTTATTTTATAAAAATGAAATTTTGCTGGTGCAGAACTGTGATATTTCCTCTTATTCTACAGCTTATTTAAAAAAAAAACATTAACCTTGAACATCATTTGGGAATTAAATGGTTCATCCCTGAAGTTATATATATGACTGTTACCTTGGTCATGATGGGCATATTTGTAAGATTCGTGCCAAGTGGACAAGGTCACAATGTTCCACCCACTGACTGAAACTCTCTACCTGAACAAAACAAGATAGCCAGGAATTTTGCACTGTTGTCTCACATGGACAGGACAGTGTTTGCTAAAGTCTGTGGCCTACAAGTTGTATGACGTCTTTGGCGAAGTGGTGAGGTATCTCACCCACACAAGTGATGACAAGTTGGAGACCTGGCTTTTGATAGCCATTTGATAGATACTAGTAGTAGTAAATTTTTAACTTTGCTTTCAATGCAATTTTAGGGACAGAAAAACTGAAAATTTAGTTAATTTTCTGGTCATTTTTTTAATGAATGAAGATCTTTATTGCACATTTTTGCGACACTTGGCTAAGTACAGGTCACAACAAAACAAGATGAATGGATACAGTTAGTAGAATCAACCCGATATCTCATACTGATATCTGTGAGGCAGAAATGCAATGTCGCTGACGGAAAACGGTTGCTTGTTTTGTATCGTAAGCTGGTTCTACATGTAGCTATTTATGGGTGGTACCCAAAAATAAAGAGATGCTTCACGAATAGAGCTGTGTACCGGTACGCAGTACCGATACTGTACCGGAAAAATTGATTAGGTACAGGTCCAAAATACCTAATCCCTCAGTACCGGTACTGTACCTAAACAATTTCACACCAATTTTATGCCTATTTGTGACCTCAAATGGGTCCCTGTGTAAGGACAGTGTGTTCATGAAAACAAAAACATCTTTAGTTTTGCCTATATTTTATCTGAGCATTCGCCATAAACAAAGAATAAACCTTAACTAACAAGTTTATTAATGTTTTTTTGTTATTGAAGGAGTTCAGAAGAGCATATAAATTGGTCGAATTGTTCAGGTACAGGTTCAGGTCCGGACCTGTACCTAAACCTGTGTACCTGTACCTGTACCTGTACCTAAAATTTGTTTAGGTACACAGCTCTATTCACGAAGCATGTTTTTGAGCTATTTCAAATGCTTCAATGTTTCAAAAGTGCTAAGAAATGGAAGTAAATGACAGATTTAATTTCCTCATCCAGAATTTTTTTTCTTTTGCTGCTCTGAAATTGCATGGCAAAGGCACATTGCTGCAGGTTGTCACCAGATGAGGGCAGTTTTAATTGGCCCTGAGCTGAAAGGCACTCTTCCTGTTTGAGGATACAGGGCAGCTGAGTAACACACGCTTCCTTCTGTTTTGTACACAAGGAAACGACTTGGCAACAGACGAAGACGTTTTAGCTGGTCCGTGTTGAACTGCAGAGGAAAAGGCACAAATGTGGTGCTACATAATGGTTACTGTGTTACTGTATATCACTATATTTAATATAGTGATATACAGTAACACAGTAACATATATTATATATGTGTTTGCGGTAGCAAAAGTTCGCGGTCTGAGAAAAATGGACATGTTCACGGAACTATACCTTTGCAACTTGGCAGCAGGTGCAGCAAAAAGAATGTCGGCGAATTATTTGTTCACAGTAATGATAAGTTTGCGGTACAGAAGTGACTGCGAAAACCACGAATATAAAAGTACCGCAAAAAAAAATCGTGATTTACAGTACATTCACTCAAACAAGGTCCAAGCCCAGGAAATGATCGAAGGGAAGGAATGCAGGCTTTCCTCATCTCTGATTTCCAGAGAGATGACAGACTTCCTCTGGTTTTTCTGGAGTGGATGCTCTCCTCGGAAGGAAAAAGATCAGAGATCTATAATAGCAAAGAAGGAAAACAAGAGTTAGGCTATGACCAGGGCTCTCACTCGCTCGCTCGCTCGCTCACTCACTCACTCACTCACTCACTCACTCACTCACTCACTCACTCACTCACTCACTCACTCACTCACTCACTCACTCACTCACTCACTCACTCACTCACTCACTCACATACCATCTTACACGTATATGTCTTGAAAGCTACAGACTCCAAGTCTGGCTATTCGTTTGTCTTACTTGCTGCAGTATTTTGGTAGAAAGATATGTAAAAGTACAACATTCCAGCTCAAGCTCCAAAGCATATTCAGGCTGTATTTCTTGCTTCCTTGATCAGGTTTCTCCCCGGCAGGTTGTTTAGTCTGCCCAAGTTCAAGTTCAAGGAGAACCAGATAAGAACGGGCTTTGCCGGATGTTGTCTGAAACTCCAGGCCGCAACTTGATCTTGTAGAAGCTGACTAGCTGGCTCTCTCTTCCAGAAAATTGAAAGATATGTCAGAAATGTTTCCTGAACACCTCACAGTGGGGGGCCAAACTTTTGCTCTGTTTCACATTTAATTTAATCTGGCAACTTTCAGACACAGTGTCTAAAACTTAAAAGGCATCCAATTTGCACTTTCAGGGCGGCAGAAGAAAAATATTCTGGATGAAGAAATCTTTCTGATATTCACATTTACTGCCATTTCTTTAGCACAGTTTCTTCATTTCATACTTTAAATCAGTTAAAGTAGCCCCAAAGACAAGATACATGATGCATCTCTTTATTTTTGGGTACCACCCATAAATAGCTAGAACCATTGCCTTTGTTACAAATCAAAACAATCAACCATTTTCTGTCAGTGACGTCACATTTTTGCCTTACAGATATCAGTATGCTATGCATATGAATTATGAATAGGATTGATTCAACTTATTGCATTAAAAAGAATATTAAAAGAGAAAATTAAAAAATCCAGTTTTGCCATCCTGAAATTACATTGGATGTTTTTTTAACTCAAATGTACAAAAATATATGTCTTCTGTTAATATATACTTGCATCATATGGAAGAAGAATTTTATGACATACATATACATTGTACTCTTTGATAACATGTCAACATCTGCCTTTTGTTTTCGATACTGACAGTTTTGTTTGTGTTCCGTCCGTTACAGGTTGCCATCAAGACTATCCGTAAAGACAAGGTTCGAGACAGTCAGGACATGGCACGGATCCGCAGGGAGATAGAGATCATGATGTCTCTCAAACATCCTCACATCGTAGAGATACTGGAAGGTTAGTGCAAAATGTTTTCTTTACTAGTATTTCAAGAGAAAGCTTTTCAGTATGTGTCATGATCAAGGATGCATCTGCAAGGCTTTAGAAAAGGTTTAAACTTTAAAGATATCCAGGGTAACTTTAAGGCAACAAAAACAAAAATATTCTGGATGAGGAAATCTGTCTGATATTGACATATTCTACCATTTTTTTGTGTGCACATTTTCATAATCATTTCAAACTTGAAGTGTCTGAAATAGTCCCAAAACAAGCTACATGATGCTTCTCTTTATTTTGGGGTACCACCCTTAAATAGCTAGAACCAGCCTACGATACAAAACAAGCAATTGTTTTCCGTCAGCGACATTGCATTTTTGCCTGACAGATATCAGTATGCTATGGTATAGGATTAATTCATTTAACTTACTTACATTAAAAGAATGACCAGACACCCAGAAATTGCATTAGATGCCTGTAAATACACTGACTTTAAAGGATATAGAGGCCTGTATTTTGGCCCTTCACTCTGTGATGGATTTGTTTGGTGTTGAGGCAGCTTGTACCCGTTTATGTGCCATGGAAGGGGTCAGGGGTCCGCAGGCTTGGCATCTGTCCATGCACACAAGGTTGTTTTCAACAGTGGAGGGGGTGCTGACAACATCTCACAGCTGCCGAGGTGCCACGGACAAAGGGCAGGCGTAGGGGGGGTAGGAGAAGGGGGGGTGCTGTCCACTTTGTGGTAAAACAGACCTTGATGAAGTAGGCATCAAGAGTCAAAAGTTCAAGACAAAGTCCAGGGTTGTTTTTTTATACAAGTAGGCTCCACATTGCAAAGTTGCCATCCACAGACACACACATGCAACCTGTCTAGTAATTTGTAGGACTTTGTTTACGTCTTGCCATCCTGGACTTTGGCCAGAGGTAAAAATAATCTTTTAGTGTCAGCCCCTTTTAGTCCCACGATATTTCATGTCTTAACGTAGTAACATTTGTATATATACAGGGTATTTATAGAAAGAGAGGGCAAGTCAGTGTTTTTAATAAACTTATGTGCAGCAATGTTCGGTTTTTCATTTTTTTGGTTCTTTGCAATGTTTAATATTTTAGTGTTAGCCATTTTTAGTCTGACTATATTTCGTGTAACATTTGTATATACAGGGTATGTATAGAAAGAGAGGCAAGTCTGTTTTCTTCTTCTTTTTTTTGTTTATTTGCGATGTTTGACCGAGAATTGTGTTTGGAAGAAAAATTGACAGGGTAGTTCATCATACCACCAAGTGACAGGTACCATGTTTGGTGTTTACATAGATGGGCTGCCAACAAAGAGGGCGTTGCGACCTGAATCCTTTTGCGTGGGAACTAGGACGCCCTTTTTAGTCTTTTAGTTATGTGTACAAGTGCGACTGTTATGTTACCAACCCCTCCCCTACCCCTGTATTGTATGGGTGGACATATACCTTTCATATGACGCAGGTGGTAACTGGTGTGAAATACATTCTCTGTGGTAAAAAAAGGGTTGTTTTCGCCATTCCCTTCAAGAGTTTATAGTACTTTTCACAATGCATATGGAAAGATATAGGGATGTCCGTAATGTCTCTTTGGTGCAGTGTTATTGTGGCCATTCTCGGCAAATATGCAGAATATTTGGGTCAATAACAGTCATGTGAAGACAGTTACCCAACCCTGTAATTGGTAGTATGTAGTCCGTAGCAAGGGAGCTCTTTTATTACCACTGTAAAGCTTCTATTTAGCTTCCTAAATAATTAGGATCAACCATCTCTGATGAGTGCCATCAATTCGGTTTTGTTGATAGCTAAATTGTGTTGTGTGCTAAATACATAAATCCGGATATTAGCTGTGTTTGTCATATATACAGCCACTTACTTTTAATACAACACAAATTTGATTTGTTGGTTCTCGGATTTTTTCCAGAAAAACTATGGCGAAAAAAATCATACAAGATTATGAAAATAATCATACGAGATTATGACAGCCTCAAAAGCTGCAATGTACAATAAGAGCCATGAAGTCAATATATATACATATACCAGGCTGGTTTATAATTCAAACAATGAATGACTTTTAAACTTTTTATCAAACCACTGTATTGATAGATGGAAGAACTGTAACAACTAGGAAGGCAAGGAGCTTTCTTCAACTGTTTGGGCCAAAATATGGGCATTTTGGGGTTATTTCAAAACCTGAATCTTTTTTTTTTTTTGCAAATCAGAACAAAATGAAGCGGGCAAATCTGACAACCAATTGTTCATTAAATTGGTGTGGCCTAAGTAATAAAAGCTGTCATTAAATTGTATGAAATTGAAATGGGTTGGAAGACAGCTGGCTGTCAGGGTATTTGTTTGATGACAATCGTATCCAAAAGACTCTTACGAAGATAGTGATGCATACCGGTTCACTGGACTTGGATCCAGACTTGTAAAATATTTAGGTTCAAGTCCAAAAAAACCTAAAAGTCAAGAACCGAGTCCGGACTTATTACCATAAAAGACCATTTCACATAACCCTTTTCTTTCCAAACCACCTAAAACCTTCCGTAGATTGTAAAATCTTTGCTGCAAAACGAACAGAACATTGCCATCGGGCATCGTCAAGTATCGGCCTCCAATTGTTATGTGGCCAAAGTTTCACCCAGACAACATTGCAAGGCTGCCAACATGCAATTCTGTATATGCCATGGGAAAGTCCGGACCTGAACCTAAACCTCTGGACTTGAATCCGGACCTGAACCTAAAATTGGGTTTAGGTATGCATCACTACATGAAGATTGACACTAAAAGCTGTTGTTATCTACTCAATGTAAATAACATTACATTTCTACTCTGGAAAGATAAAATCTCCCCAGATATGTGAGCAGCATACCTTCTAGCAGTCAGTGCTCTATGTAGGTCACTTCATGGTCTTGAATACTAATTACCCAAGCAATTTGAGCTGTCAACAATTTATAGATGGCTGCATTTACCAGTACTTAGGGAGAGTTGAGTTTAAATTTATTATACTAATTTATAGTCCAAGCAAATTGGGTATTAAAGTTAAGCCCACAACTGGACCTAAATGCATGCATATACAAGTATACTGTTGTATTCCGAACTCCTAATTTAGCAAGGCTCAAAAAACTTCAAAAACTGCCACTGTGAATATATAGTTCCACGAATGTGTCCATTTTTCTTAGACTTTGAATTTTATCACAAATATGAAATGATTTACAGATCTACACACTAGATGCCAGTTTTTGCCTTTTCTTAAGCCCATTTTCTTCATGTTGCTTTTTGTGGTATATTTAGAATTGTTAGACAGACCATAAAAAGTTTATGTACAAAGTGACAGTCACCATTGAGAAGACAAGATGTCAAACCAGTGTTGCTTGTTTACTATGAAGTGACAGAAGCTACAGTGTGTAACAACAAGCTGGTCTTTTCTTGCCTGAGGGTTTGGATGTGTTATCTGACAGTAACACCAGGGTCACTGTAACCTTTTCTGCCCTGTGGTCTTATATTCAGAGGTTTGTTGGAAGTTCAAAAGATCCAAACTTTGTCTGCATCTGTATCAGCTTACCTTCACGTCAGTTTCAGTGTCTTGACTTGCATTTAATTTACGATTCGAAGCTGGGAAGTGAGCCCGGATGGTAGATATAGTGCGTAAAAAATGCGAATGTTGTCGGTCAAAATGTGGTCTTGGCGAAGAAAATATCATAAATTATAACCATAGAGTCGATAGACCTAAAAGTCTACCATGTCGGATAGTAGTAGACTAAAAGTATTTCCAAAATGTCCTCAGATACCATTAAATATTACCTAGCGCGACTGGATTTCAACTTTCAATACTATTTATTAAATAATATTAAGATTATATTTTATCTTGACTTTGGTACATATATGTACATGTAAGCATATTATAGAAGCTATAAATGTTAATACCAGTAGTATCTAAGTGACCCACAGGATTTTTATTGTAATTTATACCTAAGGTAGGAGGAAAGCTCTACCATAATTATTTGGTCAATGACCCTGAAGCATACCTTTTCTATTATACACCCCATTACTTGGCTATCCCTCCCACCTGGGGCTGTATTGTCCTGCCCAGACATGTTTTCCCTCTATTCTCCCCGCTATTGTCTCTACATCTGGGCACACCGTCGCCTGTGTGGGGCGGTCACCCGAAGGTCACACACGACACAAAACAACCCCCAAGTTCGGCGCGCTGTCCCCCCCACCTCCCCGACCTTGTCACCTTGGTTTGCTTCCGTACACAAACAAGTAGGGGGGATTTGTTTTGAGGATGTGTCAATGGTGTTGGAAACCTGAGGAAGAATGCCCTGTTTGCACGGCGAGGTAACTGAAGCTAGTCCCAGGAATGCCAAGTTTTTGTCCAAATGGGCCGTAAGAATGGGTAGAGTGTACCCCGGTATTTGTCTAGTGTGCTAATGTTACCACTGTAGCGCCATAGTCATTGCCAACAAGGCACCCTGCCAGGGAACGAATAACTTCTCGCTGAATACGCTAGCTGTCTGTATTTATTAAGCTCGAGTCTTGAATTTCAACTGACAATGTACATTTAGACTGCAGACCATACTGTTTTTCATTCACAGTTTTGGCTGCCTGAAGTTTAGTGGAAACATGACAGAATATTCCAAACTAAAAACAGTAAAATCTCTAGATCTGATGTTTTATTAACTGAGTGCACAGTACCAAAGGAATGTTACTTATTGTTAGCCTGCACTTTTTAAAGCGAGCCTTTTTTGTGTGCTAAATTCAGCTCCAGGGGATTAGTGGCTGGGTTAATAATTAAGTGTAGGCAAGCATTGTAGACACCTTTTTGACCTTGCCCTGTGGTACACCAGACAAATAAACTTGATAAACTACATACAAGTGTGTGGCACTGTCGGGACCACCTCACCCAGTGGAAATTTTGTGAGGCCAAACAGACTTAATTTTATGGATGACATCTACTGAAGACCCCCAAACTAGTGTGCGCGGGCGAATATAAAATTCCAGCAAAAG